TATGATACATGTCGTCTCATTATAATAATCATTTGTCAAACAAAAAACATTTACATATGGCACTTATATATCGTAGGAGTAAAAAATTTTAACGATATAATGCACACAAATACGTTCTATGTAACGATCAATTGCATCAATATCATCGTTTTTCTCTCACCTTACAATAAAACACTGAGTCACCTAAGTTGCAACAACTAATGAATTCTCACTGCGCTAGAAGCGATGACTCGTTAAAGCGACTTCATGGATTCTTCCGAGAGACTAAATGAAACTGTTTTAATAGCTATCAGTAAATGTGATAACTTTAATGCGAAGCAATTGCGCATTAAACATTGATTCGCTCTTTAACCCTGATAATTTAATCAACAATATATAAATAAAATGTCGAATAATGTTATGTACATTTTATTGAACAAACGTCTTTTATCATTTTAATGTCGACGATTCTTTCTTTGTTTGTTTATTTTTGTTTTTTATAAAAAAATTGGCGATTTAAGGAGAATAAAAACGCAAAAACAAATAAAAAACAGAGAAATAAACATTAGGACAGAAGAGAATCGTAGAAAAAATTTACAATCAGTCGAGAAGATTAAGATTCATAATAATATTTATGAGCAAGATTTATTTGTCATGATTCTCATCGCGCTCTATCTGCAATATCTTTATGATTCAAATTAATCTTACATTAAATTGATACATGATTGTGTAACATTTTCTTATACTGTATCATTTTTGCCATCCATTTTCCAGCCACACTATTTTGATATGTAAATATAAGTAGATTGCTTTAAAAGACTGCTTTAAAAGAAGCAGAAAATGTATTGATGAAATAATCAATTATTTTGCGGAAGAATTTTTTGTTTATACATAAAATATAAAAAAAATTATACATAAAATATAACATATCTTTTACGCTTATCAATATTTATGTACTGATGCAAATCAAAAATCGACATGCTTATTTTCTTTGTCGTAAAAATTTAATTGAATGTTTTATAATGAAATCTTGATCTGACAATGAAATATTTTGGTAAAAATATATGTTATAGCTAAAGAAACAACAACTTTGTTATCAAGAAACTTCTGTATGCAAAATATCGTTCGATTTTCAGTGGCTTGCAAAGAGAATTTAATTGTATTTAGAAATAGTGCGAAAATAAAATTAAAAGCTTAAAAGAAAATTATATTTAAATATGTGACACAAGATTTTTAAGATTTTATTTTGAAATTTACAATTTTCGTGGAAATTTTGAGAATAGAATTATATATCTGAATTTGTTATAAACATAACTTGGAATTTTTACGATAATTTACCCAAGCATTAAATATATAAAACTGAAATTAAAATGTTACTTAAACAAAGACATCTTGAAATTAGCCAAAAGAATGTTTATGATGAGTTCTGATTTTTCTAATAATATTTAATATAATTTAATAAAATTCAATTGCTAATCATACATTGTTATATATAAACAAATAATAAAATGAAATAATTTAATATATGTAATAAAATCAAATAATTCAATATAATTTGATATTATTTTAATAATTGTTACATAATAATTTAATAACGTAATATTCTATTTGTGTAGATAAAATAATATTTAAAGTAATTTATAATAATATTCGATTTTCAATATTTATTAATTGTCGAAACTATTATCATCTAATAACACAGAGTATTGTTTCTTCTAAAAAATCGTTTTTTTCTGTTGAATTATCATGATATATTGAGTTGATAATGCAAAATACGTTATTCGTTTCTCGTAAATTTGTATTTATCGCGAGGAGCAGGTGCAGGTGCAACAGATCGATGATGCATCAGATGCGCAGATATACGCGATGACTTACATAAATCGTCAGCCGATCTTTAAGAAAAACTCTCAATATTCTTGCAAACGTCATCGCACAGCAGAAATTTATCACATTGTGTTATTTTTATGACATTCGGAAAGATACCGATTTTACGCATTTCTAGTAAACAGAGTTATTTTTACATTATATTGCATAATATCGGACGGGCATCCAAGATGCGCGTGACGAATTCATGTAGAAATGATGCGAAACTAAAAAGAACTAGACTAAATAAAAAGCAACATGTGATAAAGCGATAAAGCAATAAAAGAAACATGAAAAATATAAAACATATATTACTATTATTATAATAATTAAAATTTGATAATAAAAATTATAAAATCGCATTATATGTATATATAAAATTTTTAAAATAGGAAAATAAGGAAATTGTGTTGTATCCGATTAGAGAGATTTTTCTTTTCATGATATATATATATTATATTCCATTTTTAATACATAAATATATAATGGCAGTTCTAATATGAGTATAATAATAATAATATACACGATCTAAAAGAGAGAAACATTTCCTCGAAAAAGATTTCGCGGTAAATGTGAGGAGAATACTTACATCTAATTAAAAAAAAAACGATTGTATTGCGCATGTCAAGGTCAATCCATCTCCTTTCAATAATGGATTGTTTTCGAATTCATTATTCATTAATTCGCCTAAATCAGAATTTTAGAAGTTGCATTTAGAACCGCCTCTCCGCAGAATATTCAATTAATCATTTTTTTTCTACAGGAATTACAACAGAAGATTACTCAAAAACATCTTGATATTATTATTTGGAGATCATTCCTAGTCCAAATAATATTTGTAAAATTATTTTATATATAATTCTATACAATCTTTTATACATAATCTCCTTTTCCAGCTTTCAGAGAAAAAAAATATATAATCATAATCTTAAAATAATATTATAATTATAATTATTAACATAATTATATTTTCTAACATAATTAGATTTTCTAAAAATTTTTACAAAATACAATTAAGCGAAGCAATTAAATAAAATAAGTTTCCAATGATAACACTAATAGCTTTAATTTTGTAAGCATTATGATAAAAATAAAAAATAAATCGTATCGGTGAAAATCGTTAGAAATCGGTCGCGCGTTTTGGAAGTTGGATACGTAAAATCGTAAAGCTCGTTCAGAGATCGGAACAAGAAAGTGTGCTGCACTTTGGAGATCAATTAATGTCTAATTAACAATCTCTGTATTCCTATGTGAAGCCAACAGAAACGTAAGGCGGCGACAGCCGCGTTGGAGTAAACGCACACACGTCGCGCTTGATCCATGTAAGTCCGTGCACGTGTCGTGAGGCGCGTGTATGAGCGTGTGTGTGAGACGATAATCTTCTAGACACAGAGAAATAGAGATAGACGCAGATTAGAAAAGAGAATGGGTCAGGAGTTCACGAAACGCGAGAGTAATACGCGATTCCTCCTTTATCCTCTGCATCCATCAAGTGTCATTTGCATCTGTTTGTCCAATAATACTCTCACAAATGGATACGAGCTTGTTCTTCGTCATTAACTCTGTGTATCGCATCTGCTCGAACCTTCTCTCTTATACTTGTAGATACTGCGAATTATAATAGTAAGCGTCGTTACAGGAATTTTCTCGAGTTTTATCAATATTCTATCACGATTGAAACCGGGAATTATTTCAGCAGATACAATCTTGTTTCGCAGTAGAAAAGTGACTTTTATCAGTCAATATAATAGAAAAAATATTCATGATTAATTATTCATTGAGTCTATTTATACAATTGATAGTTGAAGAGGGAGAGAAAGTTGAATAAATGATTTTAAAAATATAAATTCTACAACCTATGAATTATTCTTGCATTATTTTCATGAACGTATATTGAATGCTTTTTTAGTTGATTTTTAATATGGCATAAAATTATTACACCGGTTTTAATCTCTCGCCTAGTAGTGTCTCAGCGCATCTTCTACACTTCTTTGTGATCCAGCGTAGGAATTAGACGCGAAATTTCACGAGAATGATTTTCTTCGGAATCCCTGAGGAATATTCTATACATTTTTCCATCTTACGCTCCTTTCTCAAGTCAAAGTATGCCAATTATTTTTGTATATTTGTCTCCTCATCTTCGAAGTTTGATTTATTTAATTTTCTTTTATCTAGATATGATATTTATTCTGACTTAAGAGAGAGAAAGAATAAAGCCCTTGTTTATTTTTTCTTTCAAAAAATCATTTCAAAAAATTATTATATTTTTTATATTATATTTTTTCTTTCAAAGAATCATTTCAAAAAATTATTTCAAGCCTCATAACTCGAAGAGTACTCAATGAAGAAATACTTTATTATAGTGTTTTGGAAAGCACTCGAGATAAGCTATAAGAATAAGTAATAAAAATGGGAGGTTCCATTTAAAAAAATGGAGATGACTTTGAAATCTCTGAAGCGCCTCTACCTACAAAAAATTATTAGTAGCATATTATGGTCCTTTTGGTACCGTACAACATTTATACAAAATTTTTGTATCTCTAAAAATAACAGAGGTATTCCAGGTGGACAGAGTTATTGGTCCACCCTGTATATATATATATATATATATATATATATATATATATACACATATATATATATACTTGCGAGAAGAAGCGCGAACGAAGCGAGTCGCGAAACGTTCAATAGCGCGTATCATTACATGTGTCATCCAAATGATATCATATCCTATAAACTTAATTATAATTGATAAAGAGAGACGAAGAATGTATTTATTAAAGTAAACAAGCAGTAAATAAAGAGAAGAATTAAATCACCTCGCTTATATGTCAGATTACTCAATTGTGAAATTTGAAATCAACAGAGTTAAGAATTCGATGCGCATTATATTCTTAATGTCAGGGGATTGTTTAATGTCAATCTAATTGTCAAGTTAATAGTTCGTATAATATAAACAATTTACAGCAATATACAATTGTGAATTATTTCTAAAAAATTATCTCTTATCTTAACAAATATACATCTTCTCTCAAAATTTTTTGTTTCATAAAAGTTGAATAGAAAGATCTTTATTTATTAGTTTTCAAATTCATATGTTATATTTAAAATTAATTTGAAAAAAATATTTTATCATAATCTTTTTTCAATTCACTTAAGTTATTTTTGAAAAATTTAACTTTAGCTTATTCAACTTGCTATTATTTACAACTAGATGTTTACATCAAAAACTATATGCAACTTTGTATAACAAATTTCATCTTGAGAGATTCGCAATCGAATGAACTGTCTCGCATCGAAGATAATTATCTGAAATTCTTTTTCACTTCGGTTCGCGAGAGTTGCCTGAATTGTCCCTTCAGAAGCTCCCATTGCGTCCATTTGTCCGAACTGATGCCGAATTCCTTGCACGTCTGCAAGAAAGCAGGCACGCATAATGGCAGATAGTGATGGTCCACAGTGGGTAGCAGATGATGCAGAGAGTGCGAACCAAAGTTCGTAAGTGCCAGAAAGATCGAGTCATCGATCACCTCACGATCACGCACCGCGTCCACCTCGAGCAGACCCCAGTCCAAATCATTCCTTGAGAATATTAGGAAAATGGCAATTAGAAAAATTACCTTATTATATCTTTTAGAATATATAATGAAAGGATACTAAAATCATTTTGCTATTTAAAAAATTATTGTATGATTATATATAAATTAAAAGAGTCAAAAGTAGAATTATATAAAACGTCAAAATTAAAATTAAAATTTTTTACATTAAAACTAAATAATTTAACAAAATAAGAAAATTTATTTTTAATTTAATAAGTAAAATAAGAAAAATTTTTGAATAAAATAAAGTATTATTAATGTAGTAAAATAAGAGAAATAGAATATAAAAACTTATTAATACTAATTATTTACAATAAGAGAACAATATAAGATTAATCAAAGAATGATTTAATAATTTAAGGAAACACAATGAATAGGTAACCTGTAGATATCACCATCGTGGAAAATATCGGGATGATGATGAGCCGCGCTGAAGCCAATCATTCCAAACATAGCGCTACTGATCAATATCATTATCAGCCACAACTTGAGTGCGACGAAAATGTTGGGCGCAAGCAAACTCATCGTCAAAGGCAACAAAAACGGTACAAAATCACGAAATTCGAAGACTCCATATTCCTTGAATACCGAATAATATCTAGAAACGATTAAAGCCTTTAACGCAATATCGAGATCAGAATTAGAATTTTGTCAGACGACTTCTTAATGTCACAAAATAATACAAGTATATTTAAAGTATAATTTTTATAAATAGTAAAATTGTATATATATTTCATCATTAAAAGCAACAATTATATAATAAATTTTTTAAACAAAATCAGAATATTAAAATTAAAAGAACAACATTAATGTGGAATTCAAAATATAAATTTAAAATAAAGAAATATAGATTAACTTTTTTTTAATTTAAATGAATGTGAAATGGACTGTTACCGTTTCAAACCTTCCATTATATACACTAACATCCAGGCGATTGGACTGATGATTTTACTTATTATCGTCGCCAAGTAAGATTTATCTTTACGAGGTATCCATTGGAGAAACGGTTCGGCTACGTAAATTTCATAATCCCATATAGTATTGGTATACATATGGTGGCTCATTACGTGCGTGACACGCCAATCCTTCGACGATAGCATACTTAAATCGAAGTAGTACATGCGAAAATTGTCCCTCATGTGGAAATAATTGTGCGCACCAACGGTGGTCCATGTTAGAAAAATGCCTAGAATTAATTATCAAGTATTTAAATCGATGGAGATTAATGTGTACGCATTTAATAATGATCAGAAAAATTAATACAATATTATCAAAATTTATATATGTATATTCACACATTTATAAAGTTAAAAATTATTTTAATTTTATTTGTATAAATTTAATATTTTAAATTTAATATTTTAATATTTTAATATTCTTAAAAATTACTTTAATATTCTTACTGTTCATATATTTGTACGCTAAATTTTATTATTGCATTACTCCTTGTGTTAACGAATGTTTTTAGTCATATTATTTCGAAGATGCTCACTGGCGAAAACAATAATGGCGAAAGAATTGGCGAAGGCGCCCGCGAGACTCAGTACAAAAGTCATGACTGCCAAGGAGTCGACGATTAGATTCGTCGTCGTGGATGGCCGATGAAAATTAACGCTCTTTAAAGCCTTGGCTGCACGTCTCTTGAATGTACGATAAAAGCCGTCCGATGAGAAAGTCAGTGGCACCGATCGTGGTGTCGCAGCTTCTCGTACGTAGAATTTCGGCAGCATTCGTTCGGCCTTGTCGGTGATGTGATGGCTCTACGACGTTAGAATTGGAAAATCTCAATTGCAAGTACAAGTCTCAGATTTTTCTTCAGAAATATTACAAATTACAGGAACAAAAGATACATATATATACATAATATAACTATATAATTTATAACTTTATTAAAAAATTTTTATTAAAAATTGTTTTTAAAACATTTTGTTAAAAAATAATTATGAAAGTAAAATACAAAAATACATTAAATTAAACTTATATTAATATTAAGAAATAATAGATAAAGTTAAATTAAATTTATTTAATTATATAACTATTAAAATAAAAAAAAATGCATCTTAGAATTAAACTAAATTAATTTAACATTTTATCACATTAACATGTACTACGATGATACTGCATAATTTTGCTTTTGATTCGATACCTCGAACAACTCGGTGATGTCGGTTCCTTTTGTGAGCCGAATCCATTCTGCGCCACCCGGATGCGATTTGGCGAAAGTCTCTAGATCGTAGAGTTTGTTTCCGATCCTCCACAATCCTTCCGCACCATCAATTTTTTTTCTAGCTTCCAAAAACTTAGCGGCGGTTTTTGGATCTTTCCTCGCTGGTAAGTAAGCCAATCCGGGCACCGTACTGGTTTTTGATATATTGAATGTTTTTTTAATCTCATCTACAAAACATACGAAAAAATTTGATACGGCTAATCTTGATTTGTCACTGAAGTCCAAGTTTCATAAAATCAAATTATACATCCTTCTACATAAATTTTTTTAATTTGTAAAACAAACCACTCCTTTCTCCTATTTACGCATATATTTAAAAAAAAAAACAATAAAATACAAATTTCTCTTTATATTCAAAAAATCGTATACTTGGAAACTCATATGTGAAAAGCGTTTAAAAATTGGCAGTAATATATAGGTGAAATCTAATATCGCACGATAGTGCAACAGTTATTAGGTTGAAAATAAAAAAATAGCGTACACAAAAAATGTCAAAAAGACATAAATAACACACACAGTACTAAAAACTTTTTATATACTATATTTAATCAGAAATAAAAATATAATATTTTGAAGTCTCTCTAGAAGTTTCTAGAAGAATCTACAATTTGATTCAAAGTGCATATAATTCTATCCATTATAATGTATGAAATATGAAAGCAAAAGTATTCAGTGAAGTATAATTTTTTTACAACATTTGCATCATTGACATAAATTTGCATATAATTTTCATAATATGTGAACATTGTACACGTACGTAGGAATTATACTGATAAGTGGAGCGTGTTTGTCATCATGTATAAGTAGAATAATAATTTAAATATGTGATATTAATGCTCATGATATATTTCTACGCTTTCAGATCGAATATTTAAATCATCTATCAAATAATTCGTATAACTTAAGATCGCATTTCTATGTCAATAATTAACGATTAAGTTATTAATTTATAGCAATTGTAGTTATTAATTTAAAAGATCATGTAAAAAATTTATTTTAAAAAATCATATAAAATATTTATATAAATTATGTAAAAGTAATATATATTACATAATTTATATTTAAAAAAAATAATAAAAAAATCACGTAAAGATAATAATGATTAATAATAATAATAAATTTAATACAATAGTAATAATTATTAATTTAATAATTGTTAATACATTATTTAATAACTGTCGGTATCACCAAGTATCATTGTAAGATATCACAATGCAAAATTATCAAAAACACAACTGTTATAATTGTCACAGATTGCAACCCGATAAAACAAATCTTTTTTTTTCTCTTTATCAATTTTTTCTGTTTTTCACTTTTATATTTGCCTGCACTTTTGCGTTGTAAAACAATATTCACCGAGTATTTTACTCACTATGGATTGCGTCGATATATATATTCGATTTTAACGGATCCATGTTTCGTGTGCGATTGTACGCGAACACGACAAATACGTGATCTCTTGTTCAACTAAATGATTCCTTTTAATACTTCCTTTCTATCCTTCAGTAATCCGGTTCAAGACACGGCCGATGCAAGGGTATCGAGATCCGTGGAAGGGTATCGAGTACCGTGGAAGGAATATTGAATAATGAATGAAGAAGTGTGTATTAGGATTATCTCTCTCGGAAAACGACAATTATTATTGATAATAACAATGTTCACGTACGTAGGAATTATACTGATAAGTGGGGCGTGTTTGTCATCATATATAAATAGAATGATAATTTAAATATGTGATATTAATGCTCATGATATATTTCTACGCTTTCAGATCGAATGTTTAAATCATCTTTCAAATAATTCGTATAACTTAAGGACGCGTTTCTATGTCAATAATTAACGATTAAGTTATTAATTTATATTTTATATCATAAATGATATCATAAATATGAGATTTTGTTCGAGTCCGGAAATTTATCACGAATTATATAATTCGCAATTAATCAGCTAATCAGTTAATCAGTTTTTAGAGGTTTTAAGAGCGCTTGCTGCAATGCGATTTTGTAATATGCTCTTTTTGATTTTTTAGATTGTAATTGTATTAGTACGTTTTAAGTTACGACAGTTTAATTTTTGAATAATAACAATATTTTATTACACATATGTGATAAATTTGAAAAATTTCACAAAAGTGATAAACAAATATATATAAAGTGATATATAGAAAGTGTGAACAAATATATAATATGGTATAAATATTATTTGTTATAAATATTACGAAATTATTTTATTATGATTATTTAATGCTTTAATCATTTTATGAACATGAACAAAATATATCTACGGAAAAAAAATAAAAAACTTAATCATTTCCATGCAGTTTCTGCATTTTTGGAGCTGATGATATTTTCTTCTCTATTAAGCTCTATAAAACTGTATTTTAAATATATCTTAAAAATTCATTCACCCAGTTTATATAAAATATATTAAAATGTGAATAAAATATATATATAATAAAATTCGAAAATACAAAATAACACATTATCTCTTTGATATTTACTTTTTCGTGTTACGTTGTATTTGTTATCGTGCAGCAAAGACTTTTAGCTCGCATTGTATATCAGATACATGTCGTCTGATTATAATAATCATTTATCAACAAAAAACATTTATATATGGCACTTATATTTCGCAGGAGTAAACAATTTTTTCGAGATGACGCAAATACGTTCTATTTAACGATCAATTACATCAATATCGTTTTTCTTTCACTTTACAATAACACAAAACACTAAATCACTCAAGTTGCAACTAATGAATTCTCACTGCGCTAGAAGCGATGACTCGTTAAAGCGACTTCATGGATTCTTCCGAGAGACTAAATGAAACTGTTTTAATAGCTATCAGCAAATGTGATAACTTTAATGCAAAGCAACTGCGCATTAAACATTGGTCCCCTCTTTAACCCTGATAATTTAATCAGCAATATATAAATAAAATGTCAAATAATGTTATGTATATACATTTTATTGAGTAAACGCCTTTTATCATTTTAATGTCGACCATTCTTTCTTTATTTTTTTATTTCTGTTTTTTAAAAAAATTAGCGGTTTAAGAAGAATAAAAACGCAGAAACAAATAAAAAACAGAGAAATAAACATTAGGATAGAAGAGAATCTTAGAAAAAATTTACAATCGAGAAGATTAAGATTCTGTATATAATAATATTCATGAGCAAGATTTATTTGTCATGATTCTCATCGCGCTCTGTCTGCAAGTCGGCAATATCTTTATGATTTAAATTAATCTTACATTAAATTGATACATGATTGTGTAACATTTTCTTTATACTGTATCATTTTTGTCACCCATTTTCCAGCCACTATCTTGATGTGTAAAAATATAGATTGCTTTAAAAGACTGCTTTAAAAGAAACAGAAAATGTATTGATGAAATAATCAATTATTTTGCGGAAGAATTTTTTGTTTATACATAAAATATAAAAAAAATTATACATAAAATATAACATATCTTTTACGCTTATCAATATTTATGTGTTGATGCAAATCAAAAATCGACATGCTTATTTTCTTTGTCGTAAAAATTTAATTGAATTGTTTTATAATTAAATTTTGACCTGACAATGAAATATTTTGGTAAAAATAAATGTTATAGCTAAAGAAGAACAATTTTGTTATCAAGAAAATTCTGTATGGAAAATATCGTTCGATTTTCAGTGGCTTGGAAAGAGAATTTAATTGTATTTAAAAATAGTACGAAAATCAAATTAAAAGCTTAAAAGAAAATTATATTTAAATATGTGACACAAAATTTTTAAGATTTTATTTTGAAATATACAATTTTCGTGGAAATTTTGGGAATAGAATTATATATCCGAATTTGTTATAATAACATAACTTGGAATTTTTACGATAATTTACCCAAGCATTAGATATATAAAGCTGAAATTAAAATATTACTTAAACAAAGATATCTTGAAATTAGCCAAAAGAATGTTTATGATAAGTTCTGATTTTTCTAATAATATTTAATATAATTTAATAAAATTCAATTGCTAATACATTGTTATATATAAATAATAAAATGAAACAATTTAATATATGTAATAAAATCAAATAATTTAATATAATTTGATATTATTTTAATAATTGTAACATAATAATTTAGTAATGTAATATTCTATTTGTGTAGATGAAATAATATTTAAAGTAATTTATAATAATATTCGATTTTCAATATTTATTAATTGTCGAAACTATTATCATCTAATAACACAGAGTATTGTTTCTTCTAAAAAATCGTTTTTTTCTGTTGAATTATCAAGATATATTGAGTTGATCACGTAAAGTGCGTCATTTGTTTCTCGTAAATCTGTATTCATCGCGAGGAGCAGATGCAGGTGCAACAGGTCGATGATGCATCAGGTGCGCAGATATACACGCGATGACTTGCATAAATCGTCAGCCGATCTTTAAGAAAAATTCTCAATATTCTTGCAAACGTCATCGCATAGCAAGAATTTATTACCTTGTGTTATTTTTATGACATTCGGAAAGATACCGATTTTACGCATTTCTAGTAAACAGAGTTGTTTTTACATTATATTGCATAATATCGGACGGGCATCCAAGATGCGCGTGACGAATTCATGTAGAGATGATGCGAAATTAAAAAGAACTAGACTAAATAAAATGCAACATGTGATAAAGCGATAAAGCAATAAAAGAAACATGAAAAATATAAAACATATATTATTATTATTATTATAATTAAAATTTGATAATAAAAATTATAAAATCGCATTTGATAATAAAAATACAAATTATAAAATCGCATTATATATATAAAATTTTTATGAAAATAGGAAAATAAGGAAATTGTGTTGTATCCGATTAGAGAGATTTTTCTTTTCATGATATATATATTACATTCCATTTTTAATACATAAATATATAATGGCAGTTCTAATATGAGTATAATAATAATATATATACGCGATCTAAAAGAGAGAAACATTTCCTCGAAAAAGATTTCGCGGTAAATGTGAGGAGAATACTTACATCTAATTTAAAAAAAAAAACGATTGTATTGCGCACGTGGAGGTCAATCCATCTTCTTTCAATAATGGATTTTTTTTGAATTCATTATTCATTAATTCGCATAAATCAGAATTTCAGAAGTTGCATTTAAAACCGCCTCTTCGCAGAAATGTTCAGTTAATAAATTTTTTTCTACAGGAACATTACAACAGAAGATTACTCAAAAACATCTTGATATTATTATTTGGAGATCATTCCTAGTCCAAATAATATGTAAAATTATTTTATATATAATTCTATACAATCTTTTATACATAATCTCCTTTTCCAGCGAACTTACAGAGAAAAAAAGTATATAATCATAATCTTAAAATATTATAATTATAATTATTAATATGATTATATTAGATTTTCTAAAAATGTTTACAAAATACAATTAAGTGAAGCAATTAAATAAGATAATAAGTTTCCAATGATAACATTAATAGCTTTAATTTTAATTGCGTATTAAATATTTATCTTTTTAAATATTTACCTTTATGTGTGTAACAAGTTCTTGATAAAATTTTATTTGATTGTTTCTCGATTACGTTACTTGATTACGTTTCTCGATTACTTTGCTTGAAGTTATTTGAAATTACGACGTTAATTATTAAAACGCAAAAATATTAGTTTGAAAATTCAATATCTTTCTTTTTTTCTTTCTCTCTCTTTCTAGTCATGTCTTTCTATTGATATTTCTATTTTGTTTTTACTTTTCAAATTCTTCAAATTCTCCGTTCAAATTTGCCGTTTCTCAAATGAAAGCTTCGATTAAAAATGTCAGCAAAATCGTCGTCACGAGGATGCTTGGCTTAATCTTCATGAAATTGGCAGAGTTTTTGAATCTCCCATCGATTCTAGGCGTCGTACTCATCATATGATCTTTGTGATCCATGTGATCCATGTGATCCCTGTGATCATGCATTATTGTCGTGGAATAAGTCGAAGACGACATCGACGCGCAAACCGTACCCATGATAAGTTCTTCGGTTGATCCCGTGAGTACCCTAAAGTTATAGTCTTGCGGGTCCAATTGTGAGTACATGAAGACGGGCAATCTGTCTGAGAGAACCCACAAATTGCCATTCCGGTCGATCTGTCAACATAATGCGATCAAAATTGAATAATGTGACAAAAAATGTGGAAATAATGTGTATCAAATTAAAGATTTCCATTAAGACTGTTGTATACGCATAATTTTATGAGGAATAAAAAATGTGTGAAGAGAGAAAATAACGTTTAATCTCTATTACTGTTTAATTAAATAATTGTACTTCGAGCATGAAAGATAGTAGACAATTGTTTCCGGTGACTAGATATTTTGTTCTTAAAGACGTCTTTAAGACGTCTTTAGACGTCATCTTGCTACCTGGGAATGTATCAAAATTCCTTGGTAAAAATGCAGAATAAATTATTTTAATCTTCATTTTTATTATTTATTATTTCATTATTTAATAAGCCAATTATTTTAATAAGCCATTAAAATTGGGATGTTGCTGTTTTTGGTAATTCTAATAATATAATATACGACGATGACATAAAATGTTAAAATTTACGGTATATATATATATATATATGTATATATATATATATATATATATATATAAAAATAATATATATAAAAATGTATCAATGTTATTTTAAAATTATATATATATATATATATATATATATATATATATAATTTTAAAATAACATTGATACATTTTTAGAGATGATTAGATTAATACGGATAAATACTGATATATACTAATAAATACTGATGATAGATTAAAATACTGATAAATGAATTGTGGAACGAACTCAATAAATTCTTGATTACCTTGAGATCGTTGGGGAAAATCATGGTCACATTGTCCTGATATACGTAACCCTGCTGTTGCGTAGTGAATTTATTCTGCGGTCTCCAGCAGGCGATGGTGTTCAGATTTGTAAGTGCGTAGAAGAGAATTCCGGTTTTCCGATCCAGGAAGCTGACACTGCTCTGGCCGTTGGGACCACGCGAACCCAATGTTTGGAATTCGTGAGACGTTTCTGGGACATGTGAATGAAAGAAATTAGAGCCTCGATAAACACCTCACGTTTGTCCTTCAGACATACAGGAAATTCCCAACCATTTTAGAAGTACTTTAAATCCTTTTCGCTGAAAAGTTGGGACAATAATCCTTGAATAATATTTAAGAGCTCGAAACTAAAGCTTTCAAAGAAATAATAAAAACTCTTTATCCTTATAATTAAAATATATTTTTATAATTTTAATTCGAGAATTATTATAAATGAAGTATTTAAAGTTTAATATGAAAAAGAGCAGAAAAATCATTTTTACAGAAAAATCTTCAATTATCTTTAATAATCTATCATTAAAAAATTAAAGCATTTGCAATATCATATATATTGTAAATGATTTTCTAATTTTCTTAGAATAAATAATTTGTTTAAATCTCCTTCAAAAAATAATTTTAAGAGCAATTATCTCAAATAATTAATTATAATTAAATAAAAATATTAAGTTTCTAATAGGAAAATATTATCAAGGTATATTAAATAAAAATCACTGATACGTAAATAAGATAAAGTTCTTAAGGAACATGAGATGCAAATATGACAGCTAACTTTCAAAATCCTTTTTACGAACTATGCGGAAGACAATCATTATCGCCACGCAAAGTGTGCGTTAGACAATCGAAGGATTAATCGAGTATTTATCTTTCTCGCAGAATTCTTGTCAAACATACCCGCAGCACTAACGCGCTGAGGATCACGTAGTAATCTCGTAGTAACGGAAAATTCCATCCCGCTGGAAAGTGGATGATAGTACATGGTGCTGTAGCCGTCACCTGTCGGTGCAAGAGCCATTCCGAACAGGCCATCGTTCCATTGGAACGGTATTCCCGACACCTTGAATTCTCCGCCCTGAGAAAAACAGTTTACATTATTAAAATTCGCCGCAAAACTTTGCTCAAACCATCCAATAAATCAAAATTCCAAATCTTCATATTTTTTTCTCTTAAAAAGCATTTTTCTCAATTTAATTAATCAATATGCAAAATTATTGAAGTTAGCAAGATAATTAAAAGCTTGATATTATTAAGTATCTTAGCTATCGAATCATCAATTTTTTCTAAAATCCATTTTGCCTACCATCGGATCCGGATGGAAGGAGTGGTGCTTGACGAGCCAGGAGGAATGGAGGCTCCAGGAGTACACGACGAGTCCCGGTCCGCCCAGGTCGCCCAGGTAGCCATACGAATCCTCGCACGAGTAATCCTCGACGGCGATATTGGCGAATAGAGAATCAGCGGTTCGCTGATCCGCTGGTATCACGTGTTTGCGCAGCACGCGATCGGTCGTCAGGTCGTAGACGATCAGCGCCGGCGGCGCCTGCTGCTCGGGGTTGCCCATGATGTCCGTCAGGCCCGTGTCCAGGACCCACAGCCGATTGCAACGATCGGCGCGTACACGAAACGTCGATACGATCTCTGGCACGCCGGCGGCGCCGTATTGATGGGCCTCCCAGGACGGATAAGGGATGAGGGGTGGCGATTCGCGAGTGTCTGAAAGTCAATGAACCTCGATGACATTAATCCTCGAAAGGAAAGGGTGAGATCTAGATCCTTTAAGATTTGATTGTTGTTAACATTCATGCTTGATATTTCTCTTGATCACTAAACATTTCTTCCTCCATTGAGAGATCTCGCATATATTTATAGTTATTTTTGTTCAAACTCGATGAATGGAAAGATGGCTCAGCAGAGAATCGAAAGGATAAGAAAAAATAATTTTATTTAAATTAAGAAAAAATTGTATACCAAATGATTGTTTTTGAATCTTTTTAGCGGGCGATCTTTCGAAAGAGAGAAGGACTAGTCACCATTGAGTCTAATGTAATTGAGACTAGCGGCGATTCCCTGTTTCCACCTCGGCACGGTGATGAAAATCCGGTCGCCGGCCACTTCCAGACCCAAGGGCAGGTTGTCCTCTTGCTTGTAATCCGGGAATACTCTCTTGGTGTCGTTACTCGGCCAGTCGTAGTCGATTTGTTTCCAGCGGTAGACGACTCGCAGTTTGCCGATCGCGCCGTCCAACAGAACGATCAGAAGCGCGATTACGATGATTGACGCCCGGCACCGCATTGTCATTTCTGATATAAAATCGATTTATCCCGGTATATCTATAAGATTGATAACTTTTATGAAACGATGCCAAATTTGGCAGATTCTCAGATCGGAACAAAAATTAATTTTTTATAAAGAAAAATATTAGGAACTTTTAAAATTAATTTGTCGAATATATATGTTTCATTTTTACAAGCAAGAAATAAAAAGATGAAAATTCTGATATAAAATTATTTATCCCGATATATCTAGATTGATAATTTTTATGAAGTAATGCCAAATTTGGCAGATTCTCGGATAAAGACAGGAAAATAAATTAATTTTTTGTAAAGAAAAATATTAGAAACTAAAAAGATGAAAATTTAAGCTTGCGAATTATTAGATCGCTTGTATATCATTGTGTTCTTTGATATCCATATTTTATATTAATTTTCTTTAAAGAAAATGCGGAGAATTTTAAGAAAGTAAATCTCGGGGGCGGGATAGATCGTGTATTATGTATCCAACTAGTTTTTCCTTGAAAGCCGATGGCCTTCGTATTTATTGCGGTTCGCTAATTAATTAATACATACACGTGTTACGCACGTAACATGTAACTATTGCAAAGTCGCAGAAACTAGGTTTCTTTGTCATCGTTTCTTACATAAAAAGTTGCTATGAAACGGAAATTAATGATAAATGATGAATTAAATGGTAAAATGTGAATTCAATTCGCAAGCATTGATTTCTTGAATCATTTATCTTTTTAGAATTAATGCTTAAAATTAAAGAGTTTGTTGAAATTATTTTACAATGTGTAATTTTTTTTCGGAGCTAAAATTTTTAAATATTAATAAAACATTGTAATTTTATTATTATACTTTTATATTATATTTTTAATATAATATAAAATTTATTTATAACATTATATTTTTCTTATACTTTTTTATATTATATTTATTGTTATTTGCTTCGTTGTAATTTAAGATTTAATTATTTATTCAACTCACTATTTATGTAAGATTTGACTCGTGCATGTTAACATTATTTAACTTTTCCTTCTTACGTTGAAAAATCTTACTTTATTATTCTAACAACGGATCGGTAATCTCACATATGTTTCGCAAGTGTCTTGACTCTTTTCAATGACGTAACGGGTCGTGGAAACAACGGTACTCATGTTGGTATCTATAGAAATTGGGAAGTCTCTAAGTTGCGAGGTACATTATGAAAGAGTATCAAGACGAATTGTATACGAAAAGATAATTATTGAAGAAATTTCTCCGACACAGCGTTCAATTTTTACTGTTTATTCTTCATCCATTTATTTATTCTTCATTTCTAACTGTTATTGTATTACGTAAAGTCTCATTCTAATTACACTATTTAAAACATTCTAATTACACTATTTAAAGAAAATTTAATAAGCTTAAAATGTAACGTTTCTCACAACAAATATTCAAGATTATTTTCATATAATGTAATTATATAATTTAATTATATACTTATATAATTTAATCTATTTATGTTTAATGTTAAGTAAAAGAATTAAATTAATATTAATAGAGTTAAGAATCTCGAATTTAAATAAGATCGGCTTAAAGTAAAGTAAATGATAAACTTAATTATTTGAGAAATGTAATTTATAAAAATACTTAAGGTTTTGATTAAAAAAATAAAATTTATGAAATTTAAAAAACAAAAACAAGATAGTTTATATCTTCAGTAACTTTATCTATATCTTTCAAAATTGATTTTATAATTAGAAATAATTGTACACGGATTTTATAAATCTTTTTCAAAAATTTGATTCGTCACTCATCCATCGAGATTCTTCTTCAACATTAATACATGGAACAGAAGAGATTGTTCGATGATGAAATGCGCATAAAATGATTTAAACCCGGACATGCCATTTATACTCGAGAAACTGACAATTCACTACCGTTGTATTTGCCATCATCGAGTGATGGAATCTTCGAAGGTCGCCATTAGAAAATAACCCATACCGGTTTGCATAGCTCATCATTTGTAATTTTAAGTAACGTTACATACTTACATAATAGCAGGTGATAAACAGATAGATATTGTCATCTACATCAGTCAAGCTGTTATCGTTACATCATTTTTTAATATCATTTTAATATTTTTACATAATTAGATTTAAAATTAAAATTGAAATTAATAATAAAGATAAATAAAAGTAAATACTAAATGCTAACAATAAGAATAAAAAATTCTAATTTAAGAAAATTCCAATTATTAAGATATAAATTTATATGAAATTAATGTAAACTTGAAAATTATAAATTTAAAAAATGATAGAAATTACAACTGTCAATTTTTATTATAAACTATTTTTGATTTGATTATTTATATTTATAAATTAATAACATAAAAAAATTTCGTAGAATAACATATGATATACATTTGTACGATAAAATAATGGCTTTTAATCGAGGCAAAATTACTGATTTTTTTTATCGGGGATTCGACGCCCTTTCTCTCTTCGAGAGAGAAGGCAATTTTGTTTTAGTAGAACGCGGCTTAAATCACCGGGACAAATTTTCTATGTTTAACAAGCGGCTAATAGCACGTAACACGGTTAACGGAAAATAGAAAGCAATCAATTTTTCGATAGTTTTATACTTGACCCGTTAACAGAGACAATAACCGCGCATCTTTCATATATCAGTACATGTATGTGTTATTTCATACCATGTTATACTTTTAACATTACGCTTTAATTTAGATATTATACTTGCGTACGCATTTTTCACTCAAAATGTATTCATTCAAGTATCCATATTTCTGAAGATAAATTGCATTTATATTTAATCAATACAAAACAAATTATGCAATATATATATATTGCATAATTTTTCACATTATCAGTTCTGTTTTTTCTATTATCTTTGTTATAATATTAGTTTCTATTTACTTAATTTAATTGAATTAAAAAATTAATATTTATACATTATTCTTTTTATTATATTTTTTAATCTTTTAAATTTTTATTGTATTTTTTATATATCAATTTTAATAATGTGTTAATGACATTAATAATTTTAATAACACTGATAATTTTTATTAATTATTATTGTAATTATTTTCACTGAGCGAAAATTGTTTGCATAGTCATAATTCTCTCGATTTCATCGTAGATTGCTCTCGTGAAAACTCTCGTGTACCGAAAAACGGTCTCACATCGTTTAAATTTTCCTACAAATTACACGCGCAATTTCTATCTTGAATAGAAAGCACGAGCCATAATATCTCCTTGTAAGGCAAAATTATTCGCGACCAAGTTTTCTGTCAAGTCATAAGAGTTTTCGAGAAGCTGCATATCTCACTTGTCTTGCGTGGTTTTGCAGACTCGTGTTCTGTATTCGAAACATACTTTCAATTAATGCCAATATATGCTAATTAAATTTGTCCCATTCATCGATGAAAATAGAATTGAAAATAGAGAGAAAAATCTACTCTAAACGAAAGAAGATTTTCAAGGATCCGAAATAGTCAAATGAAGTAAATAATCCATTTTTGTTCAATTAATTGCTTTTATATAAACAATCGAAGTAACAGAAATAAATTAATATAGCAGTAAAATAAATTTAAAAAAATTAAAATATACTTTTGTAAATTCTACAATTAATAAAGAAAATTTTATTTACAAATTATATTTATTTATAAATTAATTATTTACAAATTAAATTATATTTATATTTGTAAATAAAATCTTATTTACCTATATTTACATATTTATACTACTATATTAATTTTTTTTTATTATTTCGGTTTTGGAGAAAATTATTATTTGCAAATATGTATTCGATGCAAAAGACGATTATATAGTCATATCATATAATTTTTTCAAAAAACACATTTCGATTGTTTAAACAGATTTTAGGAATCGAGCGTTCTTCAAATTATCTTTACACATCTTTTACACATCTTTCTTATGATGCTTTACACGCGTTTTACGAGTCTTTTAAATTTTTCTTTCCATTTTATTCTCTCTTTAAAGGACATTCGCATTACGAACACAGAAGGATAATCAATGATGCTTGAAGGATGATTATTTACACTCAATCTGCTTGATTCTGGATCACAGCACAGCTCGGCTTATTTAGATCTCGTCTCGGAAGAGAGCGGTGCGACAGGTCGGACCACGCGCGACAAACTGGGAATTGGTCGGCGTGTCGACCTGGCTGTAGCCGCGGTAGCTTTTCCCCTAGGTATATACACCATACAGGTACGGTACCGTTGTAGATCCGGTCGGCAAACCTGCCGGCCACGTTGATTCATCGCGACAATCATGCAGGAAGAGAGCGATCGCGGAGGAAACTGTCGAAAGTTCTAATTTAATCTGTCAAAATAATAAATAATTATCTTGAATATTAACACCTTCATAGTATGGAAATTTTATTTAATTGGCGAAAGACGACAAGGACAATCGCAAAAATCAAAAGATAATGAAAAGAGAAATAATGTATATAAATCATGTAATTATCTTTGGTTTCTTCAAGATATAAATATGTAATTATGTCAGCTGTCAGCTTTTAAAAAATCTACTGAAGAATGACATATAAGTAATAATTTTGAGATACTTTAAATATCTTTTCAGAATAAAAATTAGGAATTTTTTGAATAATGCATAGATTTGAAAAATAATTATATAAAAATGCTTCTCTATAAATAACATTGATAATATTCCATTTAAGTATTATGTTTAACAATAAATTTAAAAGTAATATATATATATGTATAATATTTAAAGTGTATTTCTTTCTCTATTATACAATTTTTTAATAATAGATTAGAGATTTAAAAAACACCGCAACAATACGTTTTATATCATATGCATACTATAAACGATAATTATTAATGATTGTAATATTTTTATATATTTCGTTTAAAGAAAATTATAACTAAAATTATAATTATATTTTTAATTATAATTTTAATTGCAACTAAAATTATTCACTTGGAAAATGTCAGTTACAAATTGTTGAGATAATACGAATAGAATTTAACCATAGGATAGATATGCGATTCATGAAAGTACTCGATGCGCGCGAATCACAATACCATCGTCTTCTCATCCGGGTGAGCGAGTCCGCGGACGATTATCCAAGAGTACAATGAAGAAAACGTCGTCGTGAGATTAGCGTGCTATTTGCAAGCGAGCGAATCGACAAGGAGGCGCGAATGTATAAGCGAGACCGTGGTTTGCCTCTCCCGCGACCGGGCGTTTTTCTCGTCTCTCGTATCACGCAATCTCTTTCTGTTTGTGCTGCTACGAGTTTTACGCTTTTTCGAGGTCGATTGGTCGCTAGGTAGGTAGGTACATTATATCTAGCTTTCACTTTCGTGATTGTCAGTGCCGTATAATCGCCCTTCTGTATCTCTGTCATTCTATGGAATGTCGGTAGAAACTAAAATAAAAAAAATAAGACCAATTTGAAAAATCAAAAGTATATAAAAGATATTAATTTTAACATCAATCATAATTAATTTTCTTATCTTCGATTGACTCGTGTCATAATTTAATGCTGCGCATGATTCGATAAATGTCATCTGAATTTTTAAATCAAATTATTCGAAATTTCTGAGTAAAATTCTGTCAAATTTGATTTAGAGAGAATTGGGAATTTATTTCAAAAAAGTAATAAGTAATTCGACTTGTGTGTGGATTTTCTATATTAATCGTAGTATTATAAATGAGAGAATTCATAAACGATATTATGAGAGGTAAATATCAATTTTTAGATAATCTCTTCTTTATGTATAAAGAAAAAAATAAATGTTATCTTGAGACTTCTCGAGGTTTCTTCCTGTTGAGACGATTGCTGCAGGATAGTTCGTTCGATACGATACTGCCGATTAGCTCGTCCTGCCGTTCACCAGTGATCAATCGGTTCACCTATTCACCTGAATCTGCCTAGTAAATTCCAAGACCTTGCTCGCTCTTCCTTTCGTGCTTTGTTCGTTGATAGCTCGATCTTTTGTTGCTTTATATTTTTTTAAAAATCTTATTTTATTACCTTGAAAAGATTAATCTTTAAATCTTTTTATTAATATTTAATTTATTACTTTTCAAAACTTTTATTTTTTAATTTAATTAGATATTTTTATCGCTTTTCATTTCATCAAACCTGTTGTAGAAGCGATTCAATCAATCTAAAAAATTTGAAATTTCAAAAGTGGACCGTGAAATTCTTATCAACGATATCCGGAAAAAATGCGACCGCTATTTTCAGTATAATTGTGTGTCAGAGTCTTTTTTGTCGACAAAAATCAGCGATAACTAACCGCAATGACGAAATCGACATCGCTTACGCATAACCGGTTTGTCTCACGCAACGATCGATGATAAATATTAATAAATAAAACTGAAAACCAATTATTTCCGCTCGCAATCAGATAACTAACGTTCTCAATGTCGCGTTGTTTAAATTATCATAAGTGGGTTGTTTTCGCAAAAGATATCATCATGAAGATAAAAATATCGTTTTACACTTGTTAAACAGGATAAAAAATTAATCAAGATCACTCAAAAAGAAATAATTATAAAAATAAATAACAAAAAATAAAAATTGATAACAGGAAAGTATTTCGCGCGTTTAGAAATAAATGACATTATAAATAATAATTTATTCCGTTCAAGAATGTAATTAAAATCGAACAAGTTACACATCGAATAGTTTCTTTTTGCGAAACGTGGAGGAAAAATTTTCGAATAAATTGAATTTCAAAGATTCCAATAATCATTAAAATATCAATCTTGTTCTCGGGAAAGACCGGAAATAAACTCCCACTGTGTGACGATAAAAAGTTGCAGAAAGCAACTCTTATGCAGTCGCCGTTTGTTGTAATTTACGACACGAGCGAACGATTGCATACGAATGAAAAATATGGGGTATCGCTCTATAATACTAAATTTCATTCAACGGTCGATGGTGCCGCGTAATCGCGATTGTGTTATCGCGAACGTTGACCCCTCGACGATATTATGTGGGCGTGCGCTCTGAAATTACCGGATGTCTATTTAACCATAGCTCTCGGACTCACGAAGGTCTACATATGTTTAACAACCGCGAGGGCTGTTTCGAAAAACAAGAGAAAATTCACCTCGCGTTGACCAATCAATACCAGGGTTTACTCGGTGCAGACGTAATGTTCGCAGAAAAGCCAACGTGACATTTGACTTTCGAACTATGCCATCGGCATTTGCAGGTGTGCCCGCGGTTCACTCTTGTCTCATGATTAAATATCCTCTTTCGATCATGATATCAATTTTCGATTAAAGAGTTTATTTTCCCGAACCTTTCCTGGATCGATATTTCTAGATTCAGAAAATGATTTGAAAATAAACTCTCAGATTATTTATTTCCCTATTTAGAATATTTACAACCTTTTTATCTTCTTCAAGATTATAATTAAATTTTTATGCAGAGTATAAAATGCACGTAGTGTATATATGTTCCATAAAATTAATATCGAACTCGGGCAATGATCGAAATCATAATCGCCCATAAATTTTCGTCATCGCAGAGATTTTCTCTCGAGAAAGGAAAGGAAATGAACGCGAAAGCGATGAGAAACTACGCTTCATAGAAAGTTACTGGTGAACCAGTTTCACAGAAATAATCTATTTAAGTTATATCAAGTCGTTATCAGGGAACAATCTTTTCCCGAAGCTCGTAACAGTGCCATGTGCGAACTGCGCAGACTTCACGTAATGAATATTTTCATTTATCTGACGATAGGCGATCTATGGATATTCAATTATTATAAGTCTGAGGTAACTCATTCCATTTAATTCAATTTTCTCAACTATAAATTTAATTCGATCTTAAATAATCGCATAGTTATTCAAGTTTTTTTCACATTAGGTTTAATTAGATTTTTATTTCTCTCTTAATTATAATTTTATTTATTAATTGTGAATTTAAGATCAATTTTCTAGAAGATACGAAAACATCATAATCATTCTTGTTTCAAGGATTATATAAAATAAAATAGACAAGCGTTATTACAATCGAAGTCACAGCTCGATTCTTTCTGGTCATTTTTATTTAATCAATTTTTACTTTTGTTTTTCAATCGATTATCGATTTTTCCAATTACAATGCATGACTTCGATCGCAAAGTCGCCCGAAAATTCGATGACATTCGTTTTCGAACGATTTTATTTAATCAATCTGTGAATGGATATACACATTCGTATCACTTCGCTACTTTCTTTCATCCCTCTCTTTCCTTCCTCGATCATTATTGTCCGTTCTGCTCGTACGCAGTCGGCTGAAAACAACAAGGTTGTAGAAGGATAGAAGCTACATCTACCCGCGGTCGATCCTTGCTTCGGAAGTAAAGCGGCGGCAAAAACCGAAATCGCTCTCCTCTTGAAAACGATCGATTGCGTTCGCGAAAATCGGTCTCGCTTTCTTGCGAGGCTCCATTTTTAGCGGCCCTCGGAATAGACGCTCTAATCGTCGTTGTGTTCATTAAGCGGTAGTCATTAAGCGAACGCCATGTCTAATTAAACATCATAATCGCGATGAAACGCCTCGACGAAGCATGTCGTTAAAAGTCTCAAGTCGAAGAAAATTACGCGCGTAATTTACATAAATATATATCTCTTATTTAAACCATAAAATAACAAAAATAACAAATCTATAAAAAACATTCATTAAAATTTCCTATCAAACGTAATCATAAAATTATTCGCAAAAGAACTAAAATTTTTGCAACAATATAATTATATTAAATTGATAAATATATTAAAGTGGTAGAGAGATTATATAATTATTCTTAGTATTTGTTAAACATTATAGATAGAGATAAAAGAATATTAAGTAGAAATAATAGATAATAAAAATAATAAAATAATAAAAAGATTAATAAAAAGAATATTAAATAAAAATAATAGAATATTAAATAGAAATAATAGAATATTAAATAAGAATAATAGAGATAAAATAATATTAGAAATAATAAGATGATAAATTAATCGGGATAAAAACATTTAAATGCGAATGAAAAATATTCAATAAAAAAATTCTGAACAGATCGATGTCAGATTTTGGTTTATTTGAATTGTTTGTTGCAAAATAATTGCTACAGATCGGCGTAACATTAAGATCGTCGGGAGAGAAAAGCGTCGAAGAATTGCCGTCGAAAAGGCACGCTTTACTCCCGAATGGACCGAATCGCGGGACGATAGTATTAGGATGACAAAG